ACCTGTCTGTCGTCTCAAAAGTTAAAATTCCAAACTTTTTCAGTGGTGTGACATCTTTCGCAAAATATCTTCGCAGGGTGCACCACCTGCAGGTGATTTTGGGACAATAATTTTGGGTTTTTCTTATTGCCCCAACACTTTTCCTTTGATTTTTTTAAAGAAAAAGTCGTTGAAGAGTTGAAGGAAGTGTTTCAACAGTTAGTAAAGAAGACTCATCGCCGGCCTGATCAACATAACACTTTAGCAGTGAAGATTTCATAAGTAATTTTTACAAAGCTGTCTTTCAGCTGTCTTTTAGTAACTATTAAGAGCCAACGCTTTAAATTCACATCGAATGTAGAGAAGGATCACAGCTATATTTGGTTAAAAACAGCACGAGTTCATCACGTAGGGTCAGAAGTTATTAGCATTTTAGAAAAAAAGAATGGAACGCTTATGTCTTACGAATCATTCAGTCAAAGAAGTTCGGTAGTTAGCATCCAGTGCGAGTTATATTGATACAAAAGTCTGACGTTCAAAACTATTATTTATCTAGCGAGCAACATATTTTTGTCGGGCGTTTTAAATCTAAGTTGTATGTGGTAAATAAGTATAGGACATTTTCTGTTGTATTTTTTTTTCCTTATAATTCTTGTTTGCTATTCGAGATAAATGGAGGAGAAATTCAGTTGACCCGCACTGTAGATACATGCTCATGATAGTTTATAGAATATATTTTTAAAAACGAATATAAAGTTGAATCATCTGATTATTTGTTAACATCTCGATCTCATGATGTACAGTGAAGTCCATTTCGACCAAGTATTATGAAGCAAACACTGCCTTATTAAAACTGAGTCCAAAATACCTAAAACTTTTCTTATTTTCAGCATTATATAGAGCTACGATGTCGGTACGAAGTTTCTACAAATTTTTTACCTACTTGGATAAAAGTCAACTATGACTAATGCGTAACAATTGGTTTTTCTTTCAAAATAAGTCTTAGTCAAACAATAAAATCTTTTCGTTTTCAAAATTTTATAATCTTACAAGTGCATAAAATACAAAAACAATAGAAAAAATTAAAGATATCTCAAGAAAAAACGCTTGCATATGCCATCATTGTGATATCACTGAATAGAGCTCACCGAATACCTTTTTATTATGAAATTCTATACAGCTGCATTGACAGTCTTACGTTTGTTGACCTAGTTCTAGAAAAAACGAAGTGAACGGATTAAAATTTGGCTCGGTGTTATAACTCACTTACACTAGTCATCAGAAAATGTGTTACCGATGAACGACATATTTTTATTTGAATTGTATATCTATAATTAGACTATTTAAAACATTTTGTTTCTCTCCTGTGTTGTATCCAACGATTCGTTTCCTCAGTTATATTTTTAATTTTCAAAAGAAACGAAAGACATTAAAATAGCTCACATGCAAGGAGCATTTAGAATAACAAATAAATCTAACAAAATAAAGTATAAGTAATATTAGCAAATTCATGCACAGAAAACAAAACAGTATCGGATAAAAAGTAAAATTATATAAACATATTCATTCACATCGATCTGCGTTTCGGGATACTTAACCTTTTAGATTTTACTACTTTTGTTGGTATTCTAGAAGAACAAAATGAAAATCGAACAGCATGTTGTTTAGATTCCCTTTTTTGTACCATATAAACTTGAATCATTCGTTTTCCTCAGTTGCGATAGGACAGTGGGACGAGTTCGACAAAAACAGTACCTTTTAAAGATGCTCTCAGTCGCAAAAAATATAGCATGTGAGTCTAAAACTACTGTTTCACACATACGATGGAGACATCGACTCTCTATGATTCTACAAATGGCTTTCCACTTGTCACGAAAATGGTATTCGTTTAAGTATAAACACTTACTTTATTGGTTTTATAAACTTTTGATGTAAATCGATAATCTCATCTTGTATACTTTTGATGAATAATCGATTTGGTGTTGGAGTAATATGCACTTTGATAAACGTGTTTAACAAGCGGAACGACGGTTTCGGATAGGAATTAGTTTCATTACAAATATATCTAACTAACCACGGATACTTTGATAAATGTTTATAATATGGTTTAGTCTCTTGTTGCGACTTGACTATTCTAACAAATTTCAACGGAATAACAAATTGACTTCCATCATCGTCATCATCATCATCATCATCATCTTTTTTGCGACAACTATTTACTTTATCAACTGGCTTTGTTTTGCTGTTGTTATTCGAATCTGTTGATAGTAAGCGTCGATCCACAAAGAAGCAATCAAAATTATGGATACTGAAAAACTCTTTACAAGTGGAATACTTACTTGCATTATGTTTTTTCAGTTTTGAATTATTTAGTTGAAATTGTTGATCCTCATCTTCGTCTTCATTTATTTCTTGTCGGTTATGACTGTTGTCTAAAACGATTTCGATAGTTGAGAAAAAGAAGAGAAGACTGTCCGTCTACCACTTTACCATCCGCTTGAATATCTGTCTTATTACATTTATTAACAATATTCTGCTGTTTTGACTTTCTCGTCATCAACTTTAATAATTTATCTATTCGTTCTGTAAAATCATCGACTGAGTCAAATAAATTTTCAATAGCAGTTCTCGCTTGACGATCCTGGCATAGTTTTGAGGTCAGTGTCGTCATTGTTCGTCTAAAAGCAAAACATTGACTAATAATACCGTGTATACGTGCTATACATCATGCTGCAGACGTTTCACAAAACGGTAGCTAAGAAGCCCAGAGAAAATACTAAAAGCTGTTTGTATTATTACCAAGACTTTTCTCAACATGATCATTTATTCATAAACAACCACAAAAAAGAAAAAGAAAACTGAGAAATAAAGAGTCAGAGCACAACAACTTGTCATGTTTTGGGGAAATGAATACGAGTTGGACACGTGATGTTAGTTTGGACACGTGATGAGATTACCTTTTGTCACATAAACGCACTATTTTTCATGTAACTGTCACTTATATACCTTGGAATAAAACACTTAATAGCTTTTTCATAGAAAGGATGAGGCTTCACTTGAGTGCGTCTCGTTTGAGTGCGTGCTTTCTAGCGTGTCTCATCTGAGCGCGCTCCTATTTTAGTGCGTCTCATTTGAGCGCATTCTCATTTTAGTGTGTCTTATTTGAGTGCGTTTTCAATTACACAACGCATTCCTCAAAATATTTTTAAACATTTGAATTGTTTCCGTCACCACTATTTGAGATTAATTCTTAGTGGTTAGTAATCTTTTATAGTAAAAAAAGAAATAGCGTAGCTTACAATATTTTTGAACAGC